TTGTAAACTCACCCTGGCATGGTAACTTTATTAGGTGAATGAAGTTACAGGTTGGAGTCAGATAATCGTCACCTTAAACAAGGAGTTAAGGGAAAAGCAAATCTTACAAGAACACATTACTTATTTTGCTTCTACAACTAATTTAAAATTCAATCTATTAAGTTATCTAAAACTTTTCCGTATCATTAGCACTCAAATTCAAGGCCAGCCTGAACCACTTAGCAAGACTCAATCTCAAAGAACAAAATAACAAAACAAAACAAAAAATGAGGACTTAGTGAGAGATCCCAAAAAGAAGTATGTCCTGGAAGAAGAGGAATGTAAACAATTCACTTGCTACATTTAGAGTGCAAACTTTTTTGCAGAAGCTAGATTTAAATTATTTGTCAAAGTTCTTAGTCTGTAGTAAACATGTCACACACAATACTAGAGCATAGTTTTATAAGGAAAAAAAAGTTTAGCATTTCTTATACATTTCCTAGAAATATATTTCCTATTAAATTCTCTACTAAAACTTAGTACCTTTTTTGGTCTTGCTATGCAGTTCAGGGTGGCCTCAAACTCATGGCAATCCTCCTGCTTCATCCTCCTGAGTGCTGGGGTTATAGGCGTGCACCACCTAGGTTGGCTAATTAGTATGAAAATTGTATCTTGCTCATTTTTCTACATAAAAGCAATTAAATCCTAAACAGCTGACGGTGTTACCTATTTCAAAGACCAAAAATACATTTAAACACTAACTCAACCACCTGAAATACAGCTAAAAACGGTCAATACTACTTTTTCTAGACCTCAGACATAGAAATTAAGTCAAATTCCTTAGATCATGGCATTTAATGATTTTCCTTTCACTGTTTGATTTTTCTATTTACAAAAAAAAAAAAAGATAGCTTATATTCATTTAAACCACTGTTTGTGTTCCCAGTGATTTACACATCAATTACATTTTCCAGATCAGAACATCCTAAGTCATGTTCACAAAAACTGAAAGAGGAACAATGAAATACAACTCTATTTGTTCAGAAGTGATCCGTATCACATCTAGAGAAAGGTACTCACCTCCAGCCTCTGGGTATACTTTGAATTAAATAACTTCGGATAATAACCAGTAGAACGAGAAGTTCCTATAATATGTTCTTCTCAAATATTCTTGAAAAGCACAGTTTTTCTGCATTTCCTGTGACATACTGGGTCAAATTCCTAAGAAAATCAAAGCTTCCCTGGAACTATTAAGTTCATTAATGACTTAATATTTTCAAAAAATAATATTTTAGATTAAAACACCTTTTGCTATTAAAAAATACACTAAGCAATTAAAACCACATCCTCTAGGAATGAGTGCGCAGGCCCTGGGGTATGACAAACCATCACAATCTTAACACAAGTCCTCCAGAAGTGAAGCCTCAGAAAAAGCCTGAACTTCTTAGGCAATTTAGAAAAGCCACATTAATATACATGCACCGCATAATTCTTAAAATGCTGTCCCTACCAAAAGCAGATTAAGCCTATAACTTGCAAATGGCTTGGAGAAAGTTTTAGGGAAAAGCACATCAAGCAGAAAAGACTACTAAATAAAGGACACACAAATATCTTAATGCAACCAAAATTATAAACTAATGGTTTTTCATAATGCTGACTGACTCTGAATTAACAAAAAAGGATTAAATACTGCATATCTTATAAAATTAGTGTTTAATCCATTTAAGAAAAATTTTCAGCCAGACACAGTGGCCTATGACAATCCCAGCACAGGGGAGACTGAGACAGGAAAATCAAGTTCAAGTCCAACCTGGGCTACTTAAGAAAAAAAGAAAATTTTTCAATAGGTCTTGTTATATTTTCAGCCTGCGTCTCAGTAAATTAAGTAGAACACTTTATTCTCTAAACGCACGAGATAATTGCGATTATGTCTGCTAGAGGTCTACAACATTAGAAGAGACGTTTCTAACTCAACACTGGGGTGGGAGGAGAATGATCTTTTTCTTAAAACCTACAAATAGGCATAACTATTTCGTGCTAGAGCCTTAAAAAAACAGGAAAGAAAACAATTTAAAAAGAACAAGAGTTCGCCAGTCCTGTTCTTGAGAAGCTTATCTCAAGTCTCACTAGCAACTGCTTTTAGTCAAATGGGCGCCGCTGCTGTCACTGCCTAAGAGGTGAGGCAGGGAGACTTAGAAGAGCGGAATTTCGCCAAAACTCAAATCTGAAGTTAACTTCCACACAAGTCAGTGTTCAGCTCGCCACTTAAAGTGCTTACATTTAGCTGGCTACGGTAGCCCGAGTTCCCAAAAGCATCTCAAAAATCCCCCACAGCTCTGAACAGCTAACTTCAACTGCAGCTTTTTAAGCAATTCTTAGCCAAAGCGCGGCTCTGGCACCAATCTCTGGCAGAGGCCGGCAGTGTTCCGAGAGCGACCCCCGCTTCCTCCAAGCAGGGCCGACCCTGCACAGCCCCGGCCGGCTCGAGGCCACCCCCCGGACGCGCGGGCTGCAAGCCCACGCCGGGTGCAGACCGCGGGCTGCTCCGCTCCGCCAGGCCGGGCTCTGGCCGAGGTCTCCCGGCCAAAAGTCCACGAGGATACGGCGTGGGGTAGCCCAGGGCAGCCTCCCGCGGAAAGGGCTCCCGTTGCCGTCTCGGCCCCACTCTGCCCTCCCGCGGGGAGGCACTCGGGGAGCGGCTCCGGCCGGGCTGTAATCCGCCTTCCCGCTCCGGCCTTCAGCACCGCTAAAAATAGGCGCCGGGGTCACCTCGAGGCCCTCCCGGCCGCCCTCGCCCTCGGTGCGGGCCCCGCCGACTCCAGATCGGGCCGGGCGCACGGCGAGGCCACCGCGGCCCCCGAGGCCCGCGCG